ATCTTTAAAATACTGATTTCTTAATTTTGGGTTGGAAAAGTGGGGGTCGTCTTATACATGGGGGCATCTTATTCATGGAAAAATACGGTAGTCTCCTTCTATAGCTGAATACAAATACATACATGAGAAGCTGTACATTAAAAGTGCCTACTTACATGTCTTGTACCACAATATATTGATGTGGTATGAGGCCATCTATGCCATTATGGCGTCCTTCCCACCAGTCTTCAGATGCCCGGTGATATAAGAGAAGTGAAGCTCCTTTCTTGAAGGATAACTCACGTGGGGACCGTCCAATATAGTCAAACTTTGCAATAGCTTCAATCTGTTCCACTTCTGTTGGGAGAAGAGCAGTAGAAGAAACACCAAATTACAGAGAATTGTTTAAAACTCAATATAATTTGTTTGATGCAGTGAGGTATCCCTGAAATGGCATGAATGTTACTTTACATGAACATCCAAGGACATTTCTGTGAAGGATATTTTTGCTACTTTCCCTAGGAAACAGAATGCTAATTGGCTCCTTAATGTTAAGGTACTACAGAGTAACATAAGCGTATGAGTGAAAGAAGGAAGAGGAAATAGTAGACAGCTGGGACAAGATTCCCTGTATTTTGAAGAATTGAAATTTGGGGGAAAAATCTTAGAGACGCCAGGAAGTAAGAAGTAAGCTTAAATCCCTCAGGAGGCAAAGTGGGGAATTTGCTACCATGGCAGTGTTTTGACTGAATGAAATCAAATAAATGTTTCAAATATTCTTGTGTGCATTAGTGACTGACTGGTTCAGCATTTTATATGATTACAGATATAATTAGTTCATTTACCTGTAAAATTTCCATCCTGCTTTTCATTGATAATTAGTTCAAATAGTCTTAACAGTGAAAAATAATCTGGTGAGGAGACAGGATGGTAGCCAATCACTTAGACAGAAACTAGCCAACAGAAGCAACATGTACTGTTTTTGTTCTACTACTACCTCTGACACTGTTAGAAGACTTGAAAGACCAGGTTAGGGACAGATCACCATGGAGAAAAACTATCTATGTAGTAAAATACTTGGGCACTGTTTTGACTAATATGAACTGTATGTTATTTCAAAATAACTATGTCAAGATATGGAATGAAATTAAGATGGATTTACTAGGATAGGAAAAGTTACAATTATTATTGTTTGGAAGAATTTCTGTAGTAAAAATGAATGTGCTACCTGATGTTTTTATTTCAAACAACACCTGTCTTGAAAAATGATGTACCTTTTAAGCAATGGCAAAGAGATATAGCCAGATTTATATGATAGGGGAAGAAACCAAGGGTTAAATATAACATTTTTCAAGATGCAAAGGAAAGAGGAGGACTAGTATTGCCTGATTTTAAATTGTATTTTGCAGCCTGCTGTTTAGTTTGGATGAAAAGTGGGCACTGTGGAGAAATAAGAGAATGTTAGAATTAGAAAGATACAATCTGAGATTTGGGTGGCATGGCTTTCTACAGTATGATAAAGTTAAAGTTAATGTAGATTTTAAAAATCAGTATGTTAGGAGTGCCATATTAAAAATATAGAATAGATATAAACTCAAGCTGTGCCCAAAAATACCTTTATTGGTTTCAGCACAAGAAGCATTTTATAGAAAAGAAACAGCTGGAAAATAGTGGGAAACAGAATGGTTAACATATGAAGATTTGTTAGTACAGGAAAATGGAGAACTTAAGGTGAAGTCAAGAGAACAACTGACTGCAGAGGGATTTAGTTTTCAATGGTTTTCATATGCACAATTAACAGAAAGATTTAATATAGATAAAAAGGTAATTGGAATTGAACCAAGACAGAATTTGAAACTGAGCTATGTACAAATGATGAATATGTGATTGCTAAAATGTATACACTTTTGTTGAGATTTGAAATGGAAGAAGAACAAGTTGAAAAGTGCATGATAAAATGGGCTAAGAATTTTGGGTATAATATACAGATAGACCAATGGGAGAGAATGTGGCTAAAAGATTTGAAATTCACATTGTGTTATAATTTAAGAGAGATCTTTTATAAAATGATGTATTGTTGGTATGTGACACCAGAGAAATTAGCTAAGATGTATAAAGGTACTTCTAGTCAATGTTGGAAATGTGAAAAACATGAAGGGATATTTTACTATGCATGGTGGATTTGTGAAAAAGCCAAAAAAAAAAATGGACACAAATATATATGATGATACAAAGAATTTTAAAGATCAATATTCAGATGAAATTAGAACTTTTTTATTGGGACTTATGGATAGTCAATTAGGAAAGACTCATGGAAGATTGGTTTTGTATATGGTAACTGCAGCAAGACTAATATTTGCATAAAGAGGGCGAAATACTGAAATACCTATGCAGGAGTGAATTCTGAAGATGGCAGAATTTGCAGAAATGGCAAAATTGACCTGTTTGATCAGGGATAAAACAATAAGTACTTTTATAAAAGATTGGAAATCTTTTATGGACTTTTTGCTGAAAATGAAAAAAAATGAAATGGTGATTTTTAAATATGCTGATTAAAAAGGGTTGAAGGGAAAAAGGGAACCATGGAGTCCTTCAGGTTCTCTGAGCTTGGTTGTTTTCTTGCAAACATTTCGTTACCCAGCTAGGTAACATTTTCAGGGAACCATGTAATATAATCTTAAAGAGATAATAAGTCTGTAACTGCTGTAAAGAAGATTGGAAGTTGCTTCTTTAAATATCTTTTTCTTTTTCTCTCTGTATTGTTTCTTGCACTTTTTGTTTTATCTTTTTTCTTTTTCTTAACTCTAGCTAGATGGATGGATGGATGGATGGATGGATGGATGGATG